TAGGGTCACGATACCACAGCAGCTGGCAGCAGTTTCTTCCTCGCCATGATGGCAGCTCGTCCTGACATCCAGGTAGGGCAAATAACCAATATAAATAACAGAAAAACATATTTTAAAATATTTAAAACTTATATTTAAAAAAAATTAATCTAAAGCCTTAGGAAGTGCTAAACGTTGGGATTTTTCCAGGAAAAATGTGTAGAGGAAGTAAAACGAATCTTCGGAGACTCAAACAGACCAGTCACATTCCAAGATACGCTCGAAATGAAATACATCGAAAGGTGCCTCATGGAAACATTGAGGATGTATCCACCAGTTCCTATCATAGCCAGAGAGCTTAAACAAGAACTCAAATTGGGTACCAAAATAATAATAATAATAAAAACACCATATTTTAAATATTTAAAATTGTAATTATATTAATACAATATATAATTCCAGCTTCCTGCGATCTGACAATCCCAGCTCATTGCACAGTTGTCGTGAACACGTTCATGCTCCACAGGAAACCCGACATTTATTCTAGTCCAAACTATTTCGACCCCGATAACTTCCTTCCTGAGAAGTCTGCCTCCAGGCACTACTACTCCTACATCCCCTTCTCTGCTGGACCTAGGAGTTGCGTAGGTTAGTATCCAAGCACTCCTTGCTTAATAAATTGACTATTTGGCATGATGCAGAAAACACAAGTAAAACTTTTTGAATATTTGCAGGCCGAAAATACGCTGTACTCAAACTCAAAGTCATGCTGGCCACCATCCTCAGGAACTACAGGATACTTCCAGGCAAGAAGGAGAAGGACTGGAAGCTCCAGGGAGACATCATTCTCAAGAGAGCGGATGGATTCCCACTTCAATTCGAACCTAGAGCAATCAAAGTTTAATTTAAAAGTTATTATTAATATACCGTTATCCTGCAAAGCGAAAAAGAAAATGTAAAAAAAAAATCGTGTTATGTTTGCCTATAATAGTCTATAGTTTGAAATAATTTATGAGTGTTTTATGAGAAGTATGAAAATAAAAGGACTGAAATATTGTTTATTATAATTATTACTTTTTTTTCAATCATAGTTAAATATCATATTTTTTTACAGTATGAAATATGTGTTGCAGTATCCAATTTAAAATATAAAAATAGAACGAATGGCAATTACGATAGCCTATGATTAAGAACTGTTTTGAAATATTAAATAATCTATCTAGTATAAGCTACAATACATGACTATCCATAATTTCGCTTCGAAATGTGGGTAAAATGGCAATTAGAAATTGATTCTTTTCATGCTAACTAGAATGGAATAAGCAAACAGTTTATATATTGCAAATTTATACGAAAAAAAAAAAAGAACAAGACACACATATTTGATATATAAATACTTGGAAATAACATATTGTGTAATGATACAGAGGTTTTTTTTTAAAACCTAATCATGCAAGGATAGTAGAAGGCATCCATCCTTATTGAGGTAGTTGCATAAGGAAGGCGCCCATTATTATTAAATCAAATTATAATTTTTCTGTTACGAAGGGTAACAGATATCCAAAAATATAAGTATGTAATCTTGGTAAGATCTTACTACCATGTATAAAATATAAAAAAGTTTCGTTGAAATTACTTTAAATGTTTTCTCGATAAAATTGGACAAATAAGCGAAACATAAAAACAAACTATATAAGTTTATTTATAAGAAGTACGAAGCAGTTATTTTAATGAAAATTTGCTATTTTATTTCAATTTTTTCATGACAAAAATTTAAATTAATAGAGAGAATCACTTTATTATCATAAAAGGGTGCTGCCCAATTACATCGGGTTGCTTTAAACACAGCATACTTATTAATCGCTACAGGCAATTTTCCAAAACTAAGATACAATTATATAGTATTAACAACATGTATGAGCATAATATACAATTTTTTTTTATCTATATATATTTTTTTTTTTTTATCATAATTTTTTTTCCTATATTTTTATTTTTTTTTATTTATTTTATTTTTACTATTTCTTTCATTCATTTATTAGCATTATACATCCCTTTCTGTTCCTTCTCTCACTCTATACATTTTTCTCATTCCCTAGATTTTCTCCTCTCTTTTCCTAACCTAATTCATAACATGCATACAAATACATTTTTCATTAAACTTTAAAAAATAAATAACGGAATTAAGTACATATTTTGTTCCATTTTGAAATTCCATTTTATCTTCAACTTATTATATGGATTAGAGACATTAGCCTGCTCCAAGAGAGTAGAACTAGTGTGGGTCCTAACATCAGCCAAAATAAGTCCTTGATTGGATATGGAAAAAAATATATGAGATGTGAAGGGATTGTATTGTTCTCAGACAAGCCAAACATCTAGTTAAAAATTCCTTCCTCCTCTAGAACTAAGTGGCTAAAAAGGAAATCTGATTAATCATTGGGATATTAACAGATCTCTGCAGACTTAAAAGACATCTAAAGATGTGCGCGATAGTCGACGATAAGCTTTGCCATCTGTGGAAACAAGCACTGGAAATTGTCCTTCACTATATTACAATATGTGACCACTCGCCTTGCTTAGATACTGCCCTCTGGGTTCAGATAGGATCCTAGAACAGGAAGTTTCATTAGAAAAAAGTAAATGTTTGAGACAGAGATGGAGGCGATGGAACATCATTAGCATTATTTCCTCTGGGATTGGCAAAAAATACCAATAGGTCCAGTTGCCGGACTGAGTCTCTTACCTGCACCAGTACCAGGACTAACTTGTATAACTTTATAAGGTAATTCAAAGTTATTATTCTCCCCTTACACGTGCAGCCTCATTTCATAGACCAATTATTTTAATTATTTTATAGATTGTTTTTAGTTATTTTTCGAAAACTTTGCTATACAGTAATCAGATGGCCATTAGTGCAATTACGTATTAGGTGAAGGAGATGAGATGGTTGAGATTGTTGTTTAGCTAGTTCATAAATCGTGCACCGGTTACCAAGTGGTGTATTTTCCTTAATATGCCAATCACATCTGCAAACTTACATCTTTTCTTCTTCGGTGGGCTGAGAGGAGAATCTCCATTTTATCTCATCATTACTTAGAAGTTTTTTTCTGGGAAATAGGAAGAATTTAATGTAATGTTTATTAATATGACATACACCCTGATTGGATTCAATCAGATCTCAAATTCAATAATTTTGAAAATTCTCAACAGCTTTTTAGTTTTGCACAATTTTTTTCTTTCGTATTTTTAATGGTTATTAATTAAGATTTTTCTTTGACCACTTAAAATCGAGTTAAGAGGTTGAATGTTTCTATGTAGACTGACTTGGTGTTAAAGATGCGCCTTTTGACTGTTTCAAATATTTCCTGGATGTTCGCCCTCATCCAGTCCAAATTTAGAGGGTTGAAGATATTGTTAATTGACTTGGTGTTTGAGAAGTGTCTCTTGGGGCCTCACCTTTTTAACTCCCGTCTCTACTATTGTGTTTCAAGTTATTTGAACAGTATTTAATATCCTTAATAATTATTATGATAATGTTATTGTTTTATATTTTATTTGTTTTTGGGTTTCCTTACTAAATACGAGTATTGTTGGTAATTAAATCGTCAAAGAAATATTTAACTAATTCCAAATAAATATATTAACATAAAGAAAAGGAATAATTCCAGAATAAAAATCTTGTTAATTTAGCAAGACGTATTTCATATGTTTTTTAAAATTATTATTTCGCCTAAAAAAAAAAAAATTGGGCTTTCAGAATAGGAATTCTTTGGATTATAGAAATTTCTTTAGTTATCGAGGAAATTACCATGATCTACCCATCAAGTTATTTCTGAAATGGGATTATTTGTTGAAACTGAGAGCAATTTTGGACTGAAAGACTTTTGGATCAGTAGTTAAATTACCGAGGACACCAAGGGCGATGTCTGTGGATGTATACATATGTATTTACTGAGCGTTGAAGGACCCCTATTAGGTGTGCAATAACATGTTCTCACATAACTGATTGCTACATTATTAAATGTTATTTAAAATAAAGACCTACATCATGGTATAGGTTCTTCTTTTAACATGATGTTGAAGAATGTATGGATAATATACCTAAAACTCCCTATACTTAAGCAAAGAACAACTTTAATGCTCCTTATTCCATCATTCAAATTATTTAAAAATATTTCTCTTCTAAAAGTGTATTTAAAATAAAACGGTTACAATTAATTAATACTGGTAATGGTACTTGGTGAGGAGAACTACTCCGGCTAGTGGGCCCAATCGTGTCCCTTTTTGCCAACCCCCGGACCGACTATCTTGAGGTTGCCGCCGCGTTCTTACCATAGTGGGAATGTCAAGATTCATTTCGCGGGGACCACCGAGAGATGAAAAGTAACAGATCCAGGTGGAAATCGAATCCCCAACGTTCAGAACCGGTCACTCTGGGACTCAGTCCCCAACGTGCTCTGTCTTCTCGCCCTCTAGCTAATTAATAAGTAAGCTATGATAACTTGGTCATACAGTTTGGTTTAGCCCTTACAATAAATTCCATCTTATCACCTTGTTTCATTTTTTGCTTAGGTAATGATGAAAATGCAATACATATTTATTATCATTGGTTTGTTTTTATCCTCATTTTCACAGTAGAGCTTCTTCAGTGGTATTCCTTATACTGTATGGGATATTGTGATTGTTACTGAATGTGAAGAAGGAATTATGAGATTGAAAAATGATGTGTTATAAGATATTTCAAGGAATTGTAATTTTTTTTTTACAAAAGTGAAATAGTAAATACTAATTACATTGTCTTGTTTTTAATGTTATACAATGTGAAGTACGTTGCTATGAAACATCCTTTGCATTTAGGACAGTTATATCTATTGTCTCAGTATCTAAATGAATATTCCTTAATGATTTAAATTAAATAGAGTATACGTAACAAAGCTATGTCGTCCTGCCCTTGACGATTTCCGCTGTTGAAGTCCTTTGACATATGGGACGTGTGTCCCAGTCATTAACCCTTAAAACTCTGAGTGAGTAGTGTATTAGAGCAGCAGTTCTTGAATAGGATTCCGTTTCAGGAGTGAAAACAAACCTCTTTAAAAGGTAGGGAATTGGTGTTTATTATCATTAGTGTCAAGTAATACTCACTTAAACTCAAATCTTGAACAGGACTGAGCACTGCTGAATGCTTTGCATGTGGAAAATGCAACAGTTAGTTTGATTATCATTCTTCATGTTTACCTAAACGAATTCCCAAGTTTACATTTTTGGATATTTAGAATAAAATGAATGCAGATTTTTCCACTTCTTTTAATTTCAAACTTAAAATTAAAAGTACGATTGCCTATTAAAAAAATAAATTCTGTATTGGATCAACTTATGAGCCAGACATTGACACATTTGAACTGTATTTTTGAATTATAATTTGTTATAAACAAAAAACGGATAATTCGAATTAAACCCTTTCCATGACTTATGAAAATCGCAGTTTTTGATATCTAAACTATACTTGTGTTTATTGATTAGGTTATAATTATTTTGACCAAATGCTAATGATTGTTCGTACGTATGTACTAGAAATCTTGGATAACAATGTCTTAAACTTTCATAAAGAAGGACCTTGTATTCCAGAAAACTCTGATTCAATCTCTATGCTTGAAGAAATTAATAAATTTGAAGCGTTAATATTTTACCAAAAACAATTCGGAACACCAATAGAAATATATATATATATATGTATATAAACAGAAAGTCTATAATTAATAAGAAAGCAGTTTAACCATTATATAATAATATTTATTATATGTAACATTTATTTATACCTTATTGCATATACAGGGTGTTTCAGGGTTAACTGCAAAAGTGAGCTAAAGACCTCAAAAAAAGAAAAAATATTTTCTCTGAAGGTATGTCAGTAAACGCTTTGTTTAGGATATATTCACACCTAAAGATTTTCGTTGTTATGAATTATTTACCATATATAAAATAAATAAAACCTATTTATTTGTTCTAAATACTTTATTAATGAAATTTAAACATTAAAATTCATATTAAATTTTGTTTAAAGTGATTTCCTTAAGCATTAAGACAGGCTCGGTATCTTTCTTCAACAGCAGCAGTGGCAGAACGGCACTGGATATGTGTTATGTGTTCAATTATCCATCTTCGTAAGAAATTAAGGTCATAGACCGGACTTGCTCAATCATATCCCATATATCAATCAATGGATTGGCCGTGCAGGACCAGTGGCTTAGTCTGCACGCTCTCCAGACCTGACACCACCGGATTTTTTTGTTTGGGGTACATTAAACAAAATGCCTATACAAGTCCAGTGCCGTTCTACCATTGCTGCTATTGAAGAAAGATGCCCAGCCTGTCTTAATGCTCAAGCAAATATCTTTGAACAACATTTAATATCAATGTTAATGCTTACATTTAATTAATAAAGTAACTAAAACAAATAAATAAGTTATATTTATTTCATATAACGTAAACGATTCATAAAATTTTTAGATGTGAATACCTTATATACAAAGCGTTTGCAGACGTACCTTCAGAGGAAATTTTTTCCTAGTTTTGAGGTCTTTAGTTCATTTTTGCACTTTGATCACTTAACTCTGACACATATCCTGTATAGTAAGAGAAATACTTTATTTTCATAGAAAAGCGTGCTACCCAATTATATTGGGTAGCTAGATACTAACTAGTTAATAACTTTACTCAATTAATAAAACGTATACATAAATATACAGAACTAGTTGGATATATATGAATATAATATTTTTTTTCTTATTCTTTTTTATATATTTTTTTTCTTGTTCGTGCATTTTTTTTTAACATTTAATTTATCTTTCTCTCCCTTCTCTCTCATTATAGATTTCTCTCATATTCTAGAAGTATTCAAATGTTTAAAATTATACAATAGAAACAATAACGAAAAAAAGTACAACAAGAACTAAATACAATGTAATATAAACAAATATAATCAAGATTTAAAAAAAAAAAATAATGTTTTCATTGTGGCTGCAACTCTCCCCTCTCCAATAAACTTCTCAACCATATTTTATTTTGAGATAGCTAACAGATAAATGCTTCCTATTTCTTCTTGTTTTTTTTTATAATATGGTAATATTTTATGTTTAGGATAAACAGTTTTTTAAAAATTGATGATGGATAAACCATCGGTGATGGAAGAACTGCTTGCAGAATGTATAATATATTGGCTATTCATACTGGGAATCATCGTGAGCTCCGTGGTGGCTCTACATTACTACCTGTCCAAGAGAAGGTATTACCAACTGGCCCGGAAGATACCAGCACCTCCTGGGCTGCCGATAATTGGGCATGCCTTCAACATATTAATGGGGACCGAAGGTAATTCATAGAATATATAGAGAAATATTTCATGCCAATATAATTTAAACAACTTCCATCCATATATTAAATATATTATGTACCTACCACATCATAATATAATGTAGTAGATAATATAAAGATATGAAGATATTAACTTCATTATAGTTCATCGCAGCCAAGAACGATACAGATGGGAGTATAGATGGAATATATGAATATATATATATATATATATATATATATATTAACCTCCTTGCCTTCATATCATGAGATATTGACTGACCAGTTTCTTTTAGCAGTTTTTTATTGTTCCTTTCCATCCATTTGTTAAGGTTCTGATCCCAAATAGGTCCTATTATCGTACGGAGAAGTTTTCTTTCGAATCTCTCAATTCTGGCTTCTAGTGTGGCGGTTAGAGCTCACGTTTCACAGCCATACAGCAGAACTGGTTTTATTACGGCGTTGTACACCCTCAGATTTAGATTTCTGGAGATTTTTCTGAATTTCAATACCCTTGAAAGGGAGAATAAAGCTCTGTTCGCATTCGTTATTCGCTGGTCTATCTCTATTAGTTGATCATTTATTGAGGTTACTGTAGAGCCGAGGTATTTGAATCTGTCTACTTTCGGAAATGACTTAGAGTACACGCAGATCATTCTATTAGGGTAGATTTTCGGCTATCATGTATTTTGTTTAATCTAAATTGACTTGTAGTCCGATTTGCTCTGCTTCTTTTAATAGAGTCCGAGCGAGTCTGTCAATATCGTCTTGATTGCTTCCGAGGAAAGCTATATCGTCGGCATATGCTAGGATTTTATATTTCATTCCAACATACACACCTCCATCTTCGCGTGATGTTGTTCTTATTACTTTCTCTAGTGCTAAGTTGAACATCATCGGCTTGCGTCCATCTCCCTTCCTCAAACCTGTTCGAACAATAAAGGCTTCAGATACGTCTCCTTGTATTAGTACCCTGCATTTAGGATCATTTTTACACGCCTTCGTCAACCTCACTAACTTCCCGGGAACACTCAGCTCAGTCATGACCTTCCATAGACAGTTTCTGTCCTTGGAGTAATAGTCTGCTTTGAAGTCTACAAATAAGGCATATACGTCCTGATCTACTTCCGATCGTTTTTCGAGTAATTGTTTTAGGATGAATATCTGGTGTAGCGTATTAATTCCTCTCCTGAATCATGATTGGTGGTCGCGTATTATGTTTTCATAATACGGATCTATCCGATTCAGCAGAATATTAGTAATTATCTTATAGGCAACGGGGAGAAGTGCTATACCTCTGCAACTACCACATTCGTACATGGAACCCTTCATAAGAATAGGACAGAAGGATCAGCCCTGCGTTTCAGGCTTCTGATATCCGTTCCTCATCCCATATTTTCTGGATTAGATCTAACAGCTTGGCTCTTAGGTGTTCTCCCCCATCCTTAAACAATTCTGGTGGTAGGTTGTTTATCTCTGGAGCCTTTCTTTTTTTAATTATATATATATATATATATATATATATATATATATATATATATATATATATATATATATATATATATATTGGGATAGAGGGTATATTTTTACAGGACATTGAATTTTAGCAGGAAACAATATTTTTAGGAGCATGTTTTGTAACATTTAACGAACTAGGTATTGGTTTTATGCATATGTATAAATATATGGATCCATTTTTTATTGTATTTGTAAAGGTGCGTTTTTTCCCAAACTATGGAACAAACACATTTATAAATAGTTATTTCACTATGCTTATATTTTGTTTATTGATATTTTCCATCTATTGTCGATAACAAGAGAAATAAAATTAATAGTTTCGCTTAGCAATTATGTTAGTTAAGTTAGGTAATTGTGTTTTCAAACATTTGTGAAATGTCTTGACGCACCTCCAAGAATGGAATCCAAAAAAATTTGGGGAAAAGGAGAGATGGGGGCGGGGAGGGGTAGGCATCTTTCAGTACATACCTGATAATATGTACATACTGAATTGTTGCCCAATCAATGGGACTAGGGCAACGAACTCACATTAAAAGATTTCACTACGGGCGGCCATGTGTGTAGTGAGCTTCTGCACGAATGGCCTATTGTTAAAGCTCTTCTCATTTCGAACGCTGAGGGAGTCTCTACTTGGCATACTTCGACCGTTCTTAGCAACTTCAGTTTTGATCCACTGCTTCAGGCGTCCATAACGAACAATATATATTTTTTTACTTTGTCGGCGAATAAATATAAATTATAAGGACCTCTGTTATGAGTGTTCAATTGTGGATATTTTGGTTTTTTTATATATCCATTTTATTTTTTTTAAAGAAATCTAAATAAACTTATCATTTTCTTCAAAAGCTATTCATAATTTCAAAATTAATGACTTACGAATTATATGGTTTGTGTATTTTTTAAACATCCCTTTTTTGAACTAAAATGAACACATCGAAAACAGCCTAAGCAAATAAACAGGCTAACAAATTGGGGTGACGTCGAATATGATGAATTTCGGTGGAATGTCACTTAGGAATTGATCATATCTCTTCAGCAACAATTATATAAAAAAATTATCCTTTAACTATTCAAAGATCAGGAAACCTTAGGAAAATTATTTTTAAAAAAATCACTATTAGGTGAAAGACGAATTCGTTTATTTCTTATTTTGCAATGTATTAAATAAATTATTCCATTAAAAAGGTTTATTTTCGAAAATTTAAACCAAATTATAGTAAAGGGAGATTTAACTTTTTTTTCACGATTAGTATTTTGAGTTATTGAAATGACAGCTTTCTAAATAATAGTTCTTATTTATGAAAGTTTATTTAACCGGTAAAGCTTATTTATTCAATGAAAAAAAGAAATTGATATTTTTGACAAATTTATTCAACCCTAAAACAATTAAATATAATTTTTGAAATTGGGTCTTATGATATGATTGAAAATAATCATTATCGCTTATAAGAGTAGACAAAGTTTAAAAAAAATATTTTAACTTTAATATCAGCCTCCAAAACCTATGTTAGGCATACAAGAGAAAAGAAAATGTTTGTTTCCTAGGATTTAGGAACTGATTTTAGGAATGTTTGGAGAGCTGAATCTTCTTCGAAACTTCTTTATTGAGATAAATTACAATCTCTCACAACTAAGGACAAGAGTAATAGTGATACAATAAATAAAGAATAAATAAATAGCAAAATAATAATACTTAAATTAAATGTATATAAAATAAAAGAAAAAAAAAACTTATAGCAAAGAATATTATTCCTAATCACCAATCGGCTTTAGATCTACACACTAACAATGTCATAGAGTGATTGATACAATTACTGTGGTATTGGAAAAGAAGGAATTTTGCACTTTCAGCTTCAACAGCTTTCTTGGACGTCGCAATGGCCTTTGATAAAGTGTGCCATGATGATCGTATCTTCAGGATAGATTTTTCGTTGTTAACCAGCATAGTAAACACTCCGACTATTGCCGAATTGGTGCAGGATTACCGCAGGGCAGTATTTTAGCTCCATTTCTATACTCTATTTACTACAATATTTACTGTTCTGATATTCCACTGACGTCAGACACATTAATCGCAACTTTCGCAGATGGCACTGTCATACTCTCGACTGACTCTGATCCGATCGCAGCATCCTAAAAAGCACAGATTCATTTAAATTTTTTACAACACTGGCTTGATAAATAGCGCACATAAGTTAAGATACAAAAATAAAATTAGGTTATAATTACACTTAGACTTTCGGATTGCCCTCCACGGACACATTACAACACCCCTTTGTCAAATAAAACAGAGAAAAAATATTGGAACTCACAATGGAGAGACGACTGACCTGGAAATCACATGTGATTACATTAATAAAGAGATTGAAACATCGATTGTGACAACTAAGACGAATGCTACACCATGGAAACAAACTATCGTTTTTTAACAAAATTACTATATACAACATGCTAGTAAGACCAATATGGACGTATGCCTCTCAGGTATGGGGTTCATGAAAAAAAAAAAAAAAAAAAAAAAAACACAAACTATTCAAATCTTCCAATCTAAATTTCTCCGGTATTTCACTCATTGTCTCTTCATAAAGACCTACAAATACCACATGTGACTGACGTAACAAAGAAATATTACAAAAAATTTTATGACTCCTTACCTGGACATCCTAATCCACTTCTACAAACATTACTAATACAGTGCCTTCACTTCGATGTTTCTCCAATCACGGATTCACGCCAATCCCAGAGAGGAGGTTCGCTAACGAACATCACATTTATAAAATATGCCAAAAGACATTTGTAAAATTGCTTATAAAATAAATGTATTATTTTTTTTTTTATGAGTGACAGTCAGATGTTGCTATTTCGTTAATTAATTACATAATTAATTGGTTCATTACAATGTTACAAAATTATGTAATTAAATTATAGATATTAATCTATCAGTTCAGTTTCTAATTGCATCTATAACTTTAAAAGACTAATAATGTATCTTTAAACTTTGAAACTCGATATTAATTTCAGAGGCTTTTCGTAATGTTTGGAATACGATGAGTGATTGTGATGTATGTAAGCTGTGGTTGGGAACACGCTTATTCGTCTTCATTAAAAACCCAGCAGATATTGAGGTAAAAACATTTCATTTATTTTTATTTTTTGAAAGGTAATTAACAAAATAAGAAATTCATGAATTTTTCATATTTTTTAGCTTGTTCTCAATAGTCGAATACATCTATGTAAACCTAGCGAAAGCAATCTTTTAAAAACTTGCTTAGGTGACGGAATTAATACAGTTTCAGGTGAGCTCATGTTTGAACAAACAATCTGACGATTAATTAAAAAAAAAAAAATTAAAAGTATATGTGAATGAATTTAGATATATATTTTTCATAAGAGGATGAATGATGTTTATTGAATTCAAATACATTCATTAACAAGAAATTATATTTATAAAACTGAAATGAATAATTTTTGAGTAAACAGAAGGTAGAGGTAGGACTACGAAAGATATCAAATGTTTAGGATTGATGTATTTAGATTGTTAATATAAAAAAAATCTAAAAAGATGTTATTGATCATTAGGTTGTCAATGGAAATCTTACAGGCAGCTTATTGCTCCAATGTTTCAATGGAGTCAAACCTTCCAACCAATTTTAAGAAATTATAGCAGGATCTTGGATGACAGGCTGTTAAAAAATGTTGGTAAAGATATTGACTGTTACAATTACATGAGTGACGCCGTTATGGAACTTCTTTTAAGTAAGCATTGCAATAGAAATTTTATTTTTAAATTAATGCTGTTTTGTTGATAATTGGTTTAATTAATATTTTCTTGCACTGCAATATTAAGCTTTATTTTGAAAATTAGATCACAAAAATTTGTAAAAGAACATTATACAAGTTAAGTAATGGTAATATTATTAGTTAAGAACACTACGGGCATAATAATCCTGGAATTTATCGCCCTAAAACTCCTACTCTATCCTAGAATATTTCAAGAAATGCTATATGTACAGATAACCAGAGGCAGTGTAAGAATTTCGAGTTTTATCCACCCGTTCGCCATTTACTAAATTTTGTGTCTTACAGAAAGGGTTTGAAAACTTGAAAAAAAATCAAGAAGTATTGCTTAAGTTATAGAATGAAATTTTCTAAAAAAATCAACGAATAAGTTTCCAGGGCCAATTAGCCATAACTTAGCACCTAAATTCTATAGTATAATTTATCTATGGTATAGTTTTTCAAACCTAAGTAAAAAAAAATGCTAAATAATGAATAATTATTTGCTATTTATTGATTAGTAATATTTAGTAATAAATTGTATTCAAAAGATAACTGAAAAGAATTGATCAAAAAATTAAAAAAATTAATTGGTATAAATTTATTTCAGTTTCAATATTTGGCGAGAATACCGACACAGAAGAAAGTAAGAAGTATTTTGAGGCCATTCAAAAGTAAGCCAAATGAAGTTTTGTTTTAGTTAATTATTTTAACACATTAATATATACTTATTTTACTTGTACAATGATTCAGATTTTAATAATTATCATACCTTCCAAACAATTAAACCTAATGGACGTTTAAGAAAGATTATATAAAATTTTTTCATGGATTTTCTTTGTGTTGCCTTACTAAATTTTTGGGTAATATTATCTCCAGTTAGGCAGAATTACAAAGTAATGCATCGAAACTACTCCTTAACCTTTACAGTTACACTCAATATTCCATGTTTTATGATGAGGAAATTCATTTGTTTAATCTACACGACTGGTTCTATAAATCCACTAGTATTAATTATTATTGATAAATTACATAGGCATACAAGATAAAAGAAAATTTTTAGTTCTCAGGATTTTTTTTATTTCATAATGACATTTAAAACTGTATTACATAAATACATCAAGTAAATTTGGACATAATAGATATAATGACATGAATACACTTGCTGAGTAACTACCCAATGGTAGCACTCTAATGATATGACTACATTAGGAGATCACGGGGCCATCTTCTTTTCAGACACCTCGGAGGGTTATCAGGAATTGAAGAGGAAGCAAGGTTAGAAACGAGAGGGTTGGGATGATTCTGAAGTTTATTATGGAAGGTTAGGTATTTGGATTGAGCCAGATCTGAAACATAAGTAACATTAAGATCTTCATGGATATTTTATTAGTGACAAAGTAAGGATCATTGAGGATTTTACGAAGGATTTTAGATTGTAAGGATTGGATGCGAGAGGAATTCGACGGTTTAGTGGAGCCCCTTAGCTCAACTCCGTAAGTCCAAATAGGTCTTATTACAGTCAAGTATATGAGTCTTTTGTAATTAATGGGAAGTTTAGAGCGTTTGTCTAGTAAGTGCTGAAGTAATCGGAAACGTCGAGCGGTTTCTTGTCGTTTCAGTCTAGTATGAGGATTCCAAGTTAGTCGTTTGTCCAGGTGGAGTCCTAGGTATCGAATTTGCTCAACAGGGATAAGTGGAGTATTGTTAAAGGGAACTGTAGGACAGGAAGTCGTTGGTTTACGACGGTTCTCAGGATTTAGGAACTGATTTTAGGAATGTTTGGAGAGCTGAATCTTCTTCGAAAATTCTTTATTGAGATAAATTACAATCTGTCACAACTAAGGTCAAGAGTAATAGTGATACAATAAATAGAGAATAAATAAATAGCAAAATAATAATACTTAAATTAAATGTATATAAAAGAAAAGAAAAAAAAATAATCTTATCAAAATAACTACTTAAATACACATGCTTTTATTCAATATTTACAAAATTCATTCAGTCAAGATCTCCAAGGCATGCCTCTTTTTTCCCACTCGTGGAAGGAAAGGCAAAACTCTAGGAGGTCCCAGCGCCTCTCACTCATTACTCGTATTAAGGACCAGTGGAGGATGATCAGAGGCGCTATGACCAGACATTTATACTAGTATTATTATTTATACTATGTTACTACATTATATATGCTACTGCACAGTATATATAATATTACTAGTATATACCATGGGAATCTTATTATCATTAGAGGACGCAACAAGGTTAGGCAGTAAATACACACCCATATACATGTATTCAACTTAATCCTCCAGGGTCGCTACTCGCTTCACTGCTATGTACACACATGATATTCCACATAGTTTCGAAACTATGACTGCGACTTACGCAGACGTAACAACAATCGTAACAAGATATAAAAATCCAATACACGCCACACAGCCTCTAAAATATCCCCTTACAAAATTTCCTAATTGGTACAAACGAAGACAAATCAGAACATATTACTTTTACTCTTCGACGTGAAACTTACCCTCCTGCTTACCTCGATAATCTCCAATTCCTCAGACAGATAATGTTCAATATCTCGGACTGAGATTTGACAGAAGAGTGGCATGCGACCAACATATCAAGAACAAAACAAAAACACTAAACCTAAGACTACCGCTACTATATTCATTCCTTTCAAGGCTTTAGAAATTAAAACTTAGACAGAAACTGAATACATACATTTACTTGTCTAGGTCAAATTGGACCTATGCTTCATAAATATAGGAGACATTCAAAAGGACCCACATATGTAAACTACAAAATATTAAACAATAACTTACATGAACATATAAACTAACTGATCCTAGGCATGGCCACAACCAAAATGCCCGGTAACACCAGTAGGTGGTTCAAAAGAAGTTGTATGAGAGATCTCCTCTGTTAACTATAAATATTAAAATAAAGATAGATAGGGATACCACTGGGGACTCTCTCTCCCACGCCTAGCAAAGCCTTATTTCATTCTACTTTCCGACAGCACACTCGCTGGTTTTTGGTATATCTAACAGGTGTGAGTTGAAAAATCAAGATAAAAAAATTAAAATAATATATATATATAAATATATAATAAAGATTTCATGTTAAGTTTTAGATTTGATTCATGAATTTAAGCTAATGTAACTAAAACTTTATTCCTTATAAATTTAACCTCATAGGTAAACTAATGTCATATTTGAATCCAGGGCACCAAATTCATACCAAATCAGCTCTAAATATCTCGGCAATAAAACTACTGTTGGCCTGTGTTATATTTTCTTTTTTGATATGCGGATTATGATACTCGAACATAGCAATCTCATTAAATCTCATTTTGTAAAGTAAATTAATCTCATTTTGACAACATTGAAAGTTCATTGAGCTTGTGAAAAGACATCGTGAGATTTAGTTTATAGTATATACGTTGTTATTTTAACGTTTAATAAGAGTGTGTATAAATATAAAAACATCTATGGCGATATTACCATCATCATTATTATTAATGATATGGAAATATTTCATTTGATAAAAAAAAAGTGATGCTATAAAAGAAATAAACAAAGACTTCCTGCAATATTGAATAAGTAATAATATAAGCAAAGATTTTTATTTCATGAAAAAACGAAGCTAACCTTGAATTATCGTTTTTTCTTTTTCCAGACTAAAAGAGATTATCCGATACAGACAGAATAAATTCTGGCTTCATCCTGACTTAATATTCAACTTAACTAAATACTCTAAGCTCCAAAAAGATCTTTTGAGGATTATTAATCGCTTTACAAGGCAGGTAACAATCTGCATAGACTAAAATATTATTACAGTATTAAAATAAAATTGTTGCTGGTTCAAAACACCTGCCTTTATTTATTTTACTTTCATATCCAATGCTAAGAAATTGAGTTTGGGGACCTGATTGTAGGCTATAAAGAACAGAAAAAGAGCTTTAATGGAACAAGGGTACGGATGGCCGAAAAATGGTTATTTTGAAGACCAAAATGGTAATATTGAGCACAACAATAATATTACGACCTGTTTGAAAGGTAAGATTTTTTAAAACCATGTTACAATATCTTATTAAAATACGTTGATATAAGTAATTTATATTTTATAAGAATTCGTAAAAGAGTCTGAACATACAAATAATTGTTAGAAAAAAATTGAATATAAACATTTTAATATGCTGAGTAAGCTTGATGATATCTCACACTCTTCCCAAAGCTTCTGGAGTGTTTTGGTTTCATTTCAAGTACAACACTCATGTTGTTTTCTTTTTAATTCTGTTTCGTATGCTCCACACACCTGTGACTAGAAACTTTTCATGAAATATCCATGATTGAAATCCCAGGGTTCTATTCTGATTCTAGTCAGGGTTAATTTATTTTTGCTGAAAAACGTTTTCAATAAAAAAGTACAATTATTTTTTGTCTGAGTGCCTTGTTTAACTTTGTTTGGCATTTCCTCGCATGATTTTCTTTTCTGAATACAGCATTATTTTATCTCAAAATCGTGTGACTACATATGAGAGTACATTCCATGAATGACTCTGGAATAAGTTTTTGTTTTTTTCATGGAAAACTTTTTACATTTTTCATTGGGAAGTTAATAGAAAGAATGAAATGGTTCTCAAAGAGATAAAAATAAATATACAGGCTGTCCCGTAAGTAGAGAGGAAATGTTTAAAAGGTCGGTAGTAGACATCGAAATCTATTAACTCGCTTAAAAAAACACAAATCTTAAATTTCCTATTTTTCTACTGAAAATTGGACAATTGATTATAAAAATATTTTTGTAGATTTCAATGTTCTAACCATCAACCTTCTGAACATTTTTCTCCCCTACTTACGGCAGAGATACCCTGTATACAGCAACAACGGACTCACGGAGAATAGTTAGAAAAGAAACATACAGGAGCAAAAGCAGAAAAAGGGTTTAATTATGAAGCAGACCATTTGCTTTGATTTTTAATAACGTTTATTATATTGAAAGAAAAAGAAAGATACTAACCGTACGAAGTGATATTTAAATGGTTCTTGAAGACCTAAAAAATGTGTTTACAGGAACTATAGTGCTTTTAGGATTTTTTTTTTCACTTTTTGTAGCAGTATATGAAAAGAGAGAATATTGTGGTAATTTAAGAATTTACCTTAGAGCACTCGAAGAAACAGATATGGTCTTATGAAAACAGATTATTTTTCGATTTGAGGGCTTCAATTCTATAGCCTCCATAGATCTGCCTACTCAATAATAGAGATCGCATAGATCAAGAAACATACTTGGATCAAGGAGGATTTACGTATGCGTTCCTCACAATATGAAGCAGATCAATGGAAAGATGGAGTATAAATAAATGTAGGAGAAAAATTATATAACTGACAAGAAGAGCTAAATAGCAATCATACCATCATTCCCATATTTTTATCTATGAAATATCAATATTGTTGTAATGATATGTTAAAATCCATCAGGGATTACATAAGTACAGGAATGATGAGCTATCCAATCTACTCTAATCAAAGTGTTATGGTGTATTCAGGCAAATCCCATATCTTCAGTCAACATAAAAGTCTACCCTCTCAGTAGGATTCTAACCGGGACCACTTGTCCCATTGCCATGGCCCAAAAATCGACCAGATCGCAGGCGAAGGTTTGATCGTAAATTACGAAATTGTATGTTATTCTGAGTAAAAAGAACCTTGTCTGCCGTTCCAGAACCACTGCTTTCAAAAATGGCGACTGATTTAAAGAATATTAGGCTAGTAATTTGAGGATCGAAATCCATTGCGAAAAAGGGAGAAACTTTTTTTAACTTGTATATATCGGTTTCTACCTATAAACAAAAAAAACAAAAACGAAATTGCTAACGCGGGCCACCAAAGGAAAACTTTTTACATCCAAAAAAGTTAGATTATAAAAATATTAGTTGAAAAAACAAAAAATATCGAAAAAATCGGACTGTATATTTTTGGCTGTAAAAAATTTTCTCTTGGTGGCCAGTGTTAACAATTTTGTTTTTTACATTTCTAAACCCATACAATACATATACAAGTTAAAAAAAATAAAAACTTTTCTCACATTTTTCGCAATGGATTTCCCGTTTCGATCCTCAAATTACTGGCCTAATATTCTTTAAATCAGTCGCAGGTTTGGAACGGCAGACATGGTTTTTTTTTACTCAGAATAACATACACTTTCGTAATTTACAATCAATCCTTCGCCTACGATCAGGTCGATTTTTGGGCCCTGGCTGTGGAGCTATTGGGAGTTAAGCATTCATTGCACACACTATCAATAACTGCAATCAATAACACTTTTATAAGTGTTATTGACCTAATTTCCTATAAGATGAACAGATTATTTTTTTATGCTGTTGAGTGTCGCTATAATAAGAGTAATATGATACATTTATGGCTCATAAGTGGAAAACTGTAAAGTGATATCTGATTTTTTTTTTTTTTATGATAATAAATAATTAAGCATCATTCTGAAATTTATAACCAGTGTAATGGGAATGACCTAAATACCCTTGACAGATTGATGTGACTCAGTTAATTCGTTGAAAAAGTGGACATGGCATTTAAACAAATTATTTTATCCTTTTTTTATTTTTGATTCGTATTCACTATTGTAAACTTAAAATAAATCAATATAATAAAACCGATTTTGTTTGTCTTCAGAAGGTGACAGAAGCCCATCATTATTGGAACTTATGATGGAAGTCAGCCATAATGGAACAACTTTGATGGATTCCGAAATACAAAACCAAGTTGACGCCCTTGTGCTAGAGGTAAATATCCGATAAACTTTTTTTTAACTAAGAAAAAAAAGTCCATTAATGAAAGGAAATAAAATTTAAAATAAATAGTTCAATAATTAATTATATAATTAATAACTTCGAAAATGAATTATTTTTTAGGGACTTGATACAACAGCATTAACCGGGAGCTTTTTTCTTGGTGTGATGGCGGATCGGCCTGACATTCAGGTAAGCTTACTTTCGCCATGTTGAAGTTAGTCCTTCTAGAAAATCAATCTAATGAGACATGTTTCTATATAAATCTGTAAAGATGGTGAGTATTTAAAAACCTGATACAACACAAAGTAATGCTCTTGATTATTTAGCAATTTTGCTAATTTAAATGGTATAGCGATGGCATTTTTATTGGGGAAATTGGCTCCACGGTATGTTGCAAATTTCTTTCAAACGTATGTGATGAAATAATCAATCACAGGTGGAGAACCTCCGGCATTATCTTCATTATACTCCATGACACTTTATACCAGTTTATCAATTTTTTTATTATTACGGATTGTTCAAACTTATTTCTAGCATGGAACCATTTTTTTTTTGACAAAATAGCCGCGGAGTCCACTTGCCGGAGTCCCCCACAGACCACAGGGGTTATTGAGACTCACTTATAAAGAGATTGAACTGAAGAGTTTACAATTTATTTCTACATTTTTTTTTTATAAAGACAAATTATTTTATTTGATTATTTTTTCATCCTGGCTGTTTAGGAAAGATGTGCAATAGAACTGAGTCAAATCTTTGGTGATTCAGATCGACAAGTGACGTTCGAAGACACACTTCAAATGAAATACCTTGAGAGATGCCTAATGGAAACGCTAAGAATACACCCACCGGTTCCATTTATAACCAGGGAATTGCAGCAAGAGCTGAGACTCGGTAATAAGTGTTTACAACTAATTTATACCCATGTTCCAGTATATATTCCTCTGTATTGGCCCAGGGTTCGAACATTTCCTCTCTCCTTTTTAATTTCTAGATAAATGATCTTTCCAAATCCATCTACCACTGTTCACACCATTTATACGCTGATGATGCCCAAATATATTTTTCCTTTCATCCTTCTGAGCTACTAGTCGCGTTTGCCAATATTCAGGCAGACTTAGATAGGATCAGTGCCTGGGCAAGTCTGAATAATTTAAATCTAATTGCGATGAAAACTAAGGCCATTATTATAGGTTTCAGTTCTATTCTTAAATCCATTTCCTTCCTTCTTCCTTTAGTCATCAACGATCATCCTGTCACATTTAGCTCCTCCGTTAAAAACCTAGGAATCACCTTAGACGAAAACCTCTCCTGGAAACCCCATATCGCCTTCATCTCCCGTAAGCCAATAGGTACCCTTAAGCTATTTCATCGCTCTCGTCACTTACTCCCACAACCCATCAAGCTCCTTGTATCCTCTCTCATTTTCTTCCACTTTGACTACGGCTGTGTGGTGTACGGAGGCATCCCGATGGTACTCGAGGATAGATTGAAGCGACTCATGAATACGTGCAGTTAATACGTGCAGTACTCATGATTTGTCTTCGGTACATCGAGGCGCTCTCATCTGTCCCACCTTTACGACGAGTTAAAGTGGCTCTTCCCTTCTTTCCGCAGATAATATTTCCTTGGATCTTTCCTATTCCAAACAATCAACACCAGACACCCTTCCTACATCTACAGTCTCCTACAGTTTAAACCCGTGGTCCACTCCCAGAAAACAAGATCCCGTGTTTCCGACATTTATATCCCTTCCCATAGAACTAAGATGTTTGAATATTCCTTTATTGCCCGATCCACTGCCTTCTGGAATTCCTTGCCATCTGATATCCGCCATGCCCCTTCCTTGTCCTCATTTAAATATCATCTTTACCAATTCCTTCTCACATCCCAAAATGACGTTATAAAATGAAATAAATATTGCGAAACAGATTTTGACTGAGGTAAATGGTTGTTGAAATTGATTGTTCATATCTGTTATTAATAAGGGACTTCGTCCCAGAATAAAGTTTACATCCTATTTATCTATCTATACTATTTTCCACAGACTGCCAATAATTAGGTTATGTGAGGCTGCAAAATCTAGTAACCGCTTTCCATAATAATTGTAAGGTATGTAGTTTACCTATCTAACGATGAAAGAGACTTTTAGAAAGCTTAATACGTCTCTTATACAGAGATATGCTGTTTGCATATGGGTCCTGTGATTGCATCATTACAGCGGCCGCATTAGACCTCCTGAAAATCCCTTTTGTCATTGACCTTAGTAAATATAATCACTGTTTTCTCAAACAAAATTTTGTTTACTTTACAATGGGGTACTTAGAATTTTATTATGTTGAACTTCTTTTCCGTTCGGAATCTGTCCGTGCATCAAATGAACTTTTTTATTGGAACTTTTGTTTAGAATCATCTCACAGAGTTTGTCCATCAAGAACTGAGACATCATTGTATTCATATTTGTCAACCAGTGCCTTAAAATTATGTGAAAATAGCTAATTGGCTTATGTTCGTTTTTAGTTATTTACTAATTACAATTACTATTTAAATCGGTTCAAGCCATGACATAAAATCTGGAAAAGAAAAATGTTTATAACCTTCACTCTAATGAAATCTAAAATAAAAAAATATATATATTTTTCTTAAACTTTTATAGCATCTACATGCCTGACGATTCCTGCAAACAGCACTCTGATGGTAGACGTGAAGAAGCTTCACATGAACGAAGAATTATACTCCAGCCCTGATGTTTTCGATCCTGATAACTTTCTGCTGGAAAAGTGTGTTTCAAGGCACTATTATTCATTCATCCCGTTCTCAGCCGGTCCCAGGAGTTGTGTCGGTATGTTTCTATTTTTGAAAATTTAAATCAAAAATTAAATTATAATGAATATAATAAAATATTAAGAACATTTATTTGTAATGTTTCAGGAACGAAATATTCTATGCTCAGCCTAAAAGTTTTGCTATCTTCAATACTGAGAAAATACAAAATTTTTCCTTCAAGTGGTCAAGAAAGTGCTTCGATGATGACAAAAGACACAAGAAGGACTGAAAGATTTGTCATTAAAATGGAACATAGAAAACGATAGTTTTTCTTTGTTTATACCTGTTACTTTAAATCATGCTGAAAATATAAAAAATTAAATAAAAATCATTTATATATATATATATATATATATATATATATATATATATATATATATATATATATATATATACATATATATATATATGCATAGCTCTTGTAAGTAGATGTCATGAATAAATAATAAAATAAAAGTTGTTTTTTTTAATAAGTTATTTCCCAACAATCTCAATATTACATACAATACAATTATGCCTCGGAAGGGATTTATTCATAGCGGGAAAATGCTATATTTCTAAGTAGCAGGAGGGAGGAGGACGGATCGCAGTAGGGGAACCAAGGACTAGTCGTGCGGCCTGGACACTCGGCCAGGAGTATTGGAAGATCATTCGGTAAAAGACACTACCTCTTCGGCGGATGTTTAGGATGACCGACTGGACTTCTGATCTGCAAACAGTGGCGTTCTTCGCCGCGGTAGTTCCGTTGCTATACTACGTCTATTGGAGGATAGCCAACAGGAGGCTGCTCCAGCTGGCCGCCAAGATTCCAGGACCTCCGGGCCTTCCACTCCTTGGCAACTTACTGGAATTCACTGGTTCGCCGACTGGTGAGTAATGGAGAAAAGCATTGATTTGCTCGAACTTATAATAGTCATATAGGCAGAATTATATGTAAAAAACAAAGCTATTTTTTATTATCTCCTTCCCCCATAATATAAAACCATCAAAATAGAGTTTTGTTTAAAATTAAACAAAGAAAAAATCAGGGAGAATAGAAAAACAAATTAATTGTTTTCTTTGTTTTAGCCAGTATTTTAAGTATTGGAAAAAATTAAAAATACTAAAGAAAATCATTTAAATATATGCATAATTACTGTAAGTAGATGTCATGAATAAATAATAAAATAAAAATTGTTTTTAAAATAATCTATCTCCCATTCATCTTAGTTTTTGTATGCATCAGAAGAAAGGGATTGATATGCTCAAATTTATATGTTAAAAAACAATCCTTCAAAGCACTTTTTTTCTCAATCTTCTAACCTCATACACTAATCTTATACAGTTTGGTGAAATATTTTATGAGAAAAATTATATAATAAAAACAGATTTGTGGGTTTGATGCTAAATTAGTAAAGTTACTTATATTAAAATATTTCAACTTTTAAATAAAATGATAGTCAGATGTTTTAATTAATTTATAAATATATATTTTTAATTAATATTTGTTTACTATAAGCATTATAAAATATAAATATAAATAATTATATTCAAGGCAGGAACTACGATTATTGTCACAGAGGGAATATTTATTTTGGCATCTTTCTTTCAACCCTCTTCTATATATGAAGTGTGGTCAGTGATCTATTCACGTTGTCTAAATTGTTAATGTTAAAATTAGAAAGTAAATAAATACAGAACACAACATATGTTATAATTCTGGTAATTTATTTTAACAGATCCATAGATGAAGATCCTCAAAAAATGGATTCTTTTTTATTGGGCCTTATATGCTTCTGTAAATTATGTGTGCTAAATACTTAAGAAAAAAAAAAAATGTATGCTTTGTAAATTATAATGCATGTAGTTCAGCTACTAAATGTAAGTATGTGGAAAGAATCAAATATAAAAACATGTTTTTAAAAATATTTTTTTAAACTCAGGGCTTAATTTTTTTTTAGGCAGGGCTTCAATGAAAAACATTATTTTTATAGTTTTAAGTCTTTAGTATAGTTTTAAATTCTTTAGTTCCCGTATTAACTTGAATCTCATTTATGCGAGTTATTATTAAGCAAATCCTCGTAAAAAATTATTAATTTATAGATTATAGGAATAAAAAAAAACATAAGACAATACAGGACAAATGTTAAGAAAAAAACAGCTAAAGAATATTTTAGCCACATTATTTCGGATAGTCAATAATATAGTATTTATTTTATGAATTTTGTTTTTTTAATATGTAGTATATGGAAATGTATCTTATATAGTATTATTAGATAATACATATTTAAAATTATAGGTTTTGAAGTAATGAGAAAATTATTATCTACTTCACGATCATTCGATTTTTCTTACATTGTAATAAAACTTATCAATAATTTTATACGAATACCAAGATAATATTAAAGGTTATGTAAACATTGAAGAATAAGTCATTAGAAGAAGTAAATTGTATGTCTTTAGCTAACGTAATGACGGTAACGGCAGATGTCTACTACAAACGTATACCTAGCTCAGTAGGATATGACCATTGTCCAAGGTTGATTACTGGGTTAAATACTCCTATGAATATATATTTTATTTATCTAGGCTGAATAATTTTGAAGATTGGACAATGTGGAATTGCTGGGCATTCCAGGCAACTGCCATATATACATCCTATAATATATTTTTGAGTAACTATTTATTATTACATATTTCAGAGAAAACCTTGTTTATCGATAGAACATACCATTTTTATTAAAAAAAAAATTAAAATACCTTCAGAAGTTCATTTGGCCATAATTATTTTCTACATAAGACACACATATAATCGCTCAATGATGGGGTTGAATTTATAAAAAACGAATACTTGTTATTTTTAAAATTTATTTATTATTGTATTTATTAATTTACAAATATCAATTTGCATCTGTCAATCAAATATATTGATAAGAATTATCAAATTATATGGCTACGTACAGAGTTTTATTAATCACTCCAAAAGGTTTTTCTATTATGAGTTGAAATTAAATTTAAATATAAAAGTAACATCAATAACATGAAAATAATTGATGAGGAAATAAGAGGGGAGATAAAAATATTTTTACAAAATAGGTACAAACGTTACGTAAATTTAAATATTTAAGTTTCAAGAACTTAAATTTTATGAAATTCATATACATCTTCCACTAACTACTAATTCCTCAAGGATTTTCGTTCTTTCTGACTCTTTTCTCCATCTACATCAACGACTTTCCTGATTTCATCCATCATTGACAATACCACTTATATGTTGACGATCTCCAAATCTACCTTTTCTTCCATCCTTGAGGTGATAGCTACAAGGAGGTAAAGACATTATTACCATTTACCATCCTGAGATTCCGTGGTTCTATGCCCCTAAAAACCCAGCAGTTCCTAGTTTCTTAACTCATCATTCCTCACTTCGATTATGGCTGCCTTATATACGGTGGATTGTCTGGTGAGCTTGAGATCAGATTGAAGAGATTAATGAATTGTTTCATTTGACTGTTATCTTACAGATAAATTTTTTATCAATATTGCTAACCAGTACAGATATGTGAACTAAGCTAACACTCATATATATATTTATCTACAATTTAATATGTTTACTTGTGCTTTGTTATTTTAATTTAAAGGTTAGATTATTATGTTACTTAATTATTTCTTGATTTTCTTATAATGTCAGACCAATGCCACTGTTCTTTTCATTATAATTATTCTTAGGGAACTAAATGTCCCAGAATAAACTTACTTTTCTTTCTTAAAAGAAACTTTAATAACGTAAAATATAACTTTTTCTGTCTTAAATATCTTAAATAATCTTCATTCATATTTCATTCTAAGAACATGTATCGGAAAGAGTGATGATTTAGAGAGCTCTATCTGCATTTAAAAACGACGCGCACGCTTTCTATGACAGAATGTACTCATGCGTATCATGTATGTACTTGACATAAATCGTGATGAGGCTGCATTGAATTTTTATCATGCGTAAGGAGCTCCATGTTTCACATTATCCTTCCTAGTTAATTAGCTAGAAGTGAAGAAGGCTTCATTTTTTTTTCTTTCGAGAAACATAAATATACTTCGGTGTGACATCTATTAAATATTTCTTACACTCTAATTAGTATAATTATATTCAACCGATAATACTATCTCGGGTCATTAGCGAGAATTCATTATGACATATGTACTTAAACTTCTTAGTACCCATTAAAAATGTCTCGATGAAACAAAAGCGAACAAATATTTGGTTAATTTCTCTAAAAAATGATAGACTTTCCATTTATGATAAAAAAAAGAATAATATGAGACATTTAAGAAATAATTGTGCTACAGTGTTTTAATGATAATAGTATTAATAAGGTACTTAAAGAGTTTGAAATCTAGCAAAATTAAACATCTATTACGAACAAGGAAACTAATAAGGAGCCATGATTATTTTTTTATTTCCAGAAATATTTGAAAAACTGGTAGAGAAGAGTTATCAATATGAAGACGTGATAAAAGTATGGTTTGGGCCAAGATTGTTCGTCTTCCTAACCAATCCTGTAGACATAGAGGTAAGAAAAAAAAATTGGTTTGATTACAATTAATCCAGAACTTTTCATAGGCATCTATAGACATTGAATATAAGTATAGAAGGGCAATTTGAATAATTTGGCAAAAAGTTTTATGTAATCATCCTAATCAATTTTTTCAAAAATAAAAATCCCAGCTTGGTACATTGTAATGAACTAGTAATTTAAAACACATAGATCCGAATTACTGTTAGTAAATTACAAATTAATTATAAAGAAGATCCTTTCAAGTCAAATAGAGGCAATACATAAAGCATACCAAGGACCCAAGAAAGTGATCTCTCTTAATGGATAAGAATCCAAACCATTTTTGTTCGAAAAATTATCTTTTTTCCCAAGCTCCCATCTTCTTATAGTATGACATACTCAAGATATTCAAGAGAAGAACAACCTCAATATCAAATTTGTATACATCCTCCACTAATTTCAGTATTCCTCAGGGATCTTCGTTCTTTCCGACTCTATCCTCCATCTACATCAACGACCTTCCTAATTCTATCAATCGTTCACAATACCACTTATGTGTTGACGATCTCTAAATCTACCTTTTCTTCCATCCTACCGAGATGCTTGAGGTGATGGCTACAAGGAGATAAGACATTATTACCACTTGGCAGCGAGTAATGATTTAAAGTTGAACGTTGAGAAGACCAAAGCCATTCTCACTCGTTTCAAGCATCTTATTAATTCCATTCATTATTATCTCATACTCTACCTCAATGGACTACCTATTCGTTTACATATTTCTGTTAAAAATCTCGGAGTAATTTTTGATAAAAATAAGTCCTGGAATAATCATATTTCCCAAATTATCCGAGAATTGTTTGCTACCCTAAAAAAGTTCCTGAGATTCCGTGATTTTATGCCCCTAAAAATACGGTTGACTGGCAGGCTGGAGTTCAGATTAAAGAGATTAATGAATTGTTTCAATTGAATGTTATCTTACAGATATATGTATTATCAATATTGCTAACCAGTACAGATATGTGAACACACTCATACATATTTATCTACAATTTAATATGTGTACTTATTTATTTCTTGATTCCCTTCTATTGGAACCTTATCCCAATTCTGGTACTCGCTCTTATCTTTTTCAGATGAATTATAGGTAAAACAATAGAGGAATGACAACTTAGCCGGTTCGGTTATTTGTGCAGATTGCTTGATTACTGAATGATTATATGTACAAATGATACTAGCAGGGCCAGATTAAAATATGAAGCTGAACGTTGTGCCAACCTTGTAGAAGAATGTTGCGAGAGAAAGAAGTTAAGGATGGCGGGTTCCAAGACTCAGGCCATCCTCTTGAGAGGTTCGACCGATAGGGCACACCCCATAACCTTGGTGATACAAGGTTCAAGAATATGTCCAAGTGAGGTAGTCACCTATCTTGGAATTAGGATTGGAAAAAAATTCAACGTGACGCCTCACTTGGATTATTTAAGGAATAGGATAACCTTAGCCCTTAATGGTCTCAGTCGCATATGGGGAGCCTTTTGGGGCCTTAGATATCCAGCAACTATGTCCATTTATAAAGGAGTAGTTGTTGGTATCCTGAGATACCAACCCTCCCCCCCCCGTCCCCCGCATGGAACCGGAATCTCTCGTACCGTCAGAAGCGCAAGTTGGCAACAATCCAGCGGATGGCCCTGCTTAGAGTAACCAGGTCATACAGAACTGTGTCCCATGAGGCGGTGCAGGTCTTAGGAGGAGGTATTCCTCTCGACCTCATCCTGCGGGAAGACCTTTATCGGTACAACATTAAGAGGGATGACTTGGCGGATTTACCAGCAAACATTCGGGAGAGGATTTGTGATGACCCCAAAAGATGGAAGATGCTCCTCCGGGAGGATACATTGAAACAATGGAATTGGCGATGGGTGACAACCCCAAACAGGTCCACACTAAGAAAATTCTTTCCCACCATTAAATCGCGCTTAGAAAAGAAATGGGTTCTCCCGGACTACTGGGTCTCACAGATCCTCACGGGGCATGGGGGTTTCAGAGCGAAACTTTTTAAACACGGTAAAAATATCGACCCCTTATGCCCCACTTGTGGAGTACCTGAAACCGCTGAGCACATCCTTGTAGCCTGCACCAGCTATGAGGCACTGAGGGCTAAATTAATGAGGGATACAAAGCTTTTCGTTCTTACAGAAGGACAATTACCCCAACTAATGTCTGAACAAAACTACCCGCACTTTAAAAGTTTTTTATGCGGCTGGAAAAAAACTGTGGGCCCAACCCACTTCTCTCTGGGAAGGCGTGAAGAAGCAGTACCTGAAAGGCCGCTGATTAGGACAGGAGAAGAAGATGGAGGACGATAAACTAAGTGACAAAATTATCAAGCAGGCTTTGTGCACAGCAATTTAATAATGTAAAAAGATAAACTTGCAACAGTGATTTGTTATACAATGTGTATCAAGTCACTGCTGCAAACTCCCGTATTGTCTTAAAGGCAGGGTAGGGAAGAAAATAAAATAAAATAATGTACAAATGATACACGGAGGTCAAACCATTACTGCGAAAACCGGAAGCACGATCTAGTGTGACATCGTTGCAGTAGTTCTAAGTGTCTATGTTTTCTGATAGATGCTGACTGACAAAACTAGTTTTTTAAATCCGAAACACTTGTAGGTTTACATAATTTTGGAGATGATTTATTAATATTCCGAAAATTCAAATTATAGAAATACCTATTAGCTTAGTGGTAATAAATTAAATATATATAACTTGATATTTTTTATACATATTGATCATATTATTCTTATTATATTCATCAGTATAAATCACGGGCGGATCTACGGAGGGGGGCTTTCGGGCTGAAGCTCCCCCCTCCCCCAAAATGGTAAAGTATAACCATGTTTTATCGAAAAAAATATTTAAAAAGTATCTTTTAAAGTATTATTGTTCGTGTAATTACATTTAAAAGGGCTTTAGGAATCACTTAAACACCATTTCATACAGGTAGTTAGTTTCTTTCTTTTTTTCCAAAGTAATTATCGTTATTTTTATGAAAAAAAAACCTTTCGGGCTGAAGCCCCCTCTCCCCTCCCAAAAAATAAATCCTGGATCCGCTTTGTGGTATAAATTAGTTAAGCCCATTGGATTAAACACGTAAACCAATTATTAAATTAAATTCTTAATTTGTAGTCTGAAATCATAACTTTTTTTTTATTACCTAGGTTCTCCTAACAAGCACTGAACATATCGAGAAGTCTGTAGAATATGACTTTATGAAACCATGGCTTGGAGATGGATTACTCATCAGTTCAGGTAATTAAGAAATAAATTATTTTTAATTTTTTTGTAAGGACCTCTTGATTATTAGAATAGAAACGATAAATTATTAATTCGCTGAAAAAGACAACTAAATATAAATAACCACCTTATTATTTTGTTTTCAAAATAATAGTAACTTTAAAGTAACTAATAAAACGATAAATAAATCTTATTTTAAGGACAAAAATGGTTCACTCATCGCAAAGTGATAGCCCAAACTTTTCATTTAAACATACTTCGTTCTTTTTTGGGCAAGTTCAACGAAAATGCAAAGAAATTGGTGAAATATTTTGAAGATGAAACAGGAAATGAATTTGACTGTAGAAGGTACATGTGTAAATACACCGCTGAAACGCTGATAGGTATTTGATATGTACACGTATTCAATATAATTTTATAAGTTTATAATATAGTCATATATTGTTGTATTAGTATATTATAATGAGATAACGTTTTAAGTATTAGTAGTATATTTTTAATGTTAATTAAAAATATAATGAATCTCTGTTTATGAATGAATCTCTGTCATACTGTAATATAAATATTTACATCACTTAGGAATTATGGCAATGATTGATTGCAGATACTGTTATGGGAGCAGATAAGGATCAACTCGGATTTGAAAGCCCTGTGTACTCGGGAGCTACAACAAAGTAATAAACTGTATCTTTTCCATCTTTCTCTATTAAAAAGACATAAGTTAGCTAGAAAGAGATGAGTGTTTCAAAATTAGCATTGAAAACATGTAATCGATGATTTTCTTAAAGTATTATAGTTTCCATATAATCCTGAAATCCATTAAGGACATTTGTCCCAATTTGTTTCTAAATAAATTTTAAAATATCTTTAAATACTTTCTAATTTATATTATGAATAATTTGATTAAAATTTTGATTGCAGTGAAATAGCTCATTGCAATATCAAAATATCTGTAATATTTACTGAACTTTTTAAATGTTGGTATCCTTGGTGTTAGGTAATTCGACTCAAAGGTCTTACAATTTTCGATAGTACCTCACCTCTACTTAAAAAAAAAATTAAGATTATGCTGAGGACGATGATTTATTTTTAAATGCAAACATGTTGATTTAATTTCAGACTTTGCGAACTAGTGCATCTTAGACATACCAAACTCCACTTCCGATCTGACCTGTTATTCAACAGTACGAAGCATGGATTCGAACACAAAAAATTTGTTTCTTTAGTTCACGACTTCTCCGCTAAAGTAAGTATCCAATAAAAAATTAAGTTATTTAAATAGTCATTATAATCAAGCCAGGGAAGTTCTGTTGGATTATATCCTTCTTTATGCCATATTATTATTATTTGCCGCATATTATTATTTCCTACATTTATTGTTAGCTCATTTGCAGGTTGCCAACAATTAGTTGATTGGTTTAAATTAGTTCTTAAAGATAAAAAAAGTTATCCCCAGTGTTTTAGTTTTATCTAAAAAACAAAACGTTATAATCATAAAGAATATTTGCGCTTCGAATTTTTAATTTTTAATTTGTAACTCCACGATCAACATTTTATCTTTCTCTCTCTCTCTCTCTCTCTCTCTCTCTATATATATATATATATATATATATATATATATATATATATATATATATATATATATATATAAATATAATAAACATCTTTTGATTGCGTAAATGAGACAAGAAAAAATATTTCATTTTCATTCTCAGAAGTTAGCGAATCTGAGTACGAATCAGAGTTGTTTTTGAATTTATCTTAGAGCTAAAGGCCCTTAACCCATTGTTGTAAAAGATGCGACATTCGTATACATGAGACGGGGCAAATGAAAGAAGAGGTGCTTCAATGACTGTGGTGCAGTATTGGAATGAAAGTCAACAGAGTTTAGTGCCAGGAGGAAAAGACTACTAGATTACAAATGTATATTGAATAGAGTTACATAATGAAGCTAACGTATCAACACGTGAGTTACAACACCCCCTTTCTGTTTCTAGTTTAATGGCTAGAAACAAGAACGTGAAACTACCAATTATTTCACTGAATACAAAATGTAATAATAGAAAGTCAAAAATAAAATAAACAGTACGAGTATTTCCAGCCTTACGCCTATTTCCAAAAATTTGCAAACGTTACAAATAGAAGCCCCTTTCCCTCTCTCCCAAAATGGTAAAATGCACGGGCGGATCTACGGGGTGAGGGGGAGGCTTTCGGGCTGAAGCCCCCCCAAAATGGTAAAATATAGCCATGTTTTATCGTAAAAAATATTAAAAAAGTATCTCTTAAAGTATTAATGTTTGTGCAATTACATTTAAAATGGCTTTAGGAATCACTTAGACACCATTTCATAAAGGTAGTTAGTTTCTTTCTTTTTTTCCAAAGTAATTATCGTTATTTTTATGAAAAAAAACAGCTTTCGGGCTGAAGCCCCCCCCCAAAATTCAATCCTGGATCCGCTAGTGGTAAAATGTAATCCTGGTTTTGAAAAAAAAATATTAGGAAATTATCTCTTAAAGTATTATTGTTCATGTAATTAATTACATTTAATAGGGCTTCAAGTATCACTTAAAGATTATTTCATATAGGTAGTTAATTTCTTTTTTTCCCAAAATAATTTTCGTTATATAAGTGAAAAAAACCTACCGGGCTGAAGCTCTCCCCAAAATTAAATCCTGGATCCGCTAGTGTAAATAGCCGAAAAATGGGTGTCAAACATCTATTCGATCGCCATTTTGAGCGATTGGTAATGTCAAGTCACGAAGACATCCTCTGTAAAATTGTTGCCAAACTAAAAAAAAAAAAAACAATAAAAAAAAATGCGCACTGCACGTAATGGAGTCGAAACTATAAAACTTGAAATTTATGAGTTTCTTGGGATGCTGAATCCGAAATAAACACTCAAATACGTCTACTATTTATGAATTTCGTACAATTGTTCGAATTTTATGGGAAAAAAACCCTGTTTTCTTCGTATAATTTAATAGAATTAGATATTAAATTGAATTCATTAGGTATTAAGTTATTTAATACCTATAATTAATTTACTATATTTTTAGTTAAAGAAAAGAAAAATTATAAAAAGCGAAGATAGTAATATTAATTTAGTAATAAATAATGATTTTCAAATATTTAATTCTGGTGGCAAGATAAACTAGTAGAACACTCGTAAGAATTGATTACTGATTTAGGAGAAATATTTGGAAGCTCTGACTTATCTAAAAATTATTTAAAAAAAACAATATTTTTTATTATTTTTGATCCTTGAATAGCTCATTCTTCACCCATGAAAGTGAATATTCGACATAAGAACAAGAAATGTATTTTCCGAAATAGTTAATAGTTTATGCAACATTTTATTTTATTTTTTATTTTTGTTTCATTGTAGTACCATAAGATGTACTTTTTCTATCTTGGAATACATAGAAGTTTTTTGTTCTTAAAACAATATTAGAAAAGCTAATATAATTATTTGCTACAATTACCTTAAGGGAAGTTATCCATAAAAGTGTATATAATAAAACGTCTCTTAGATCAACAGTAAGCAATACACTTCAAATTCGAATAACAAAAGATAACAAATTTAAAAAAAGGATAAACATCAGGATATAGTATTAAACGCATAAATAAATAATGTGTCACTACATCTCTCTTATCTCATTGACAAATGTATAAAAACAAACCAGGATTAATTCAAACTTAATAATTGGATATGAATTTTTCGTATTTAGTTCAGGTTATCAAATTCATCACTAAAACCAACCTATTTCTGTATAATTTGTACAATAAAAACACCCTGTAAAATTTTTAATTATTATTTAATACATGTAATGATTTTTCATCATGTTGTTAAATAATATAATGTACAATAATGTTGTTCTGGGGGAGTATAGTTCTCCCAGGTGCCCCCTCTCATTGGAATGGTACTGCTATTATTCACGAAACATAAAACCTTAAATTTTGTAGGGGTTTTAATTTCTTTTTAAAATTTCCTAAAATCCATTATTGGAAGTAATTGAACCGAAGGTAAGAAATGAAGGAAATAAATCCAAAATACTTCAATTTGGCTCGCAATCCTTTCACAATAGCACTTTCAAATATTCTATAAATAACCAGTGAACAAATTAGATTTAGATTGTCTCTTCTGTAAAAACATTTGCTATTTCTGCTTAAAATGTTTCCTTACTTTACTTTAAGGTCATATTTAAATCACACATAGTGAAAAAAATGTGAAGTGGAAAAATAAAGGCCATATTGGTAAAAGGAAAAAAAAATATAATTGCTTCATAAATAAACGTATTATTTATTTAAATTCTAGGTAAAATGATACACGTATTTAATCATTATTAAATGTGATTAAGCTAAAGTATTACTATTTTATTAAGGTATAATTTATATTTAAATAAACAAATAATTAATTAAGACCTCCACTCAGATCTGTTAGCCACAGCTTGTTCTATAAATGATACTTCAGTTGTGAAATAAGCATTAAATGAGAAACAACACATTCAATAACATTTTTGGTAACCATGTGATTGAGTAATTTACTGAATTTCATACATTAAATTATGTTTTTAAATTTTACCACATAATCAAAGAAATGTTCGAGGGCCAGACTGGGAGTGCTCAGAGGCCGCAGTTTGGAGGCCCTGTATTAAAGGGTGCATTGAAGTATTAATTTAACATTTAATGTTCTTTATAAGGTTCTATAAAGAACATAAAAATCGTTAGTCATAAGGCAGCATGCCCACACAAAGTACAATTGGAGTAATGAATCCAAGCTCCAAACCACTAGTGGATCCAGGATTTAATTTTGGGGGGGGGGCTTCAGCCCGAAAGTTGTTTTTTTCATAAAAATAACGATAATTACTTCAGAAAAAAAGAAAGAAACTAACTACCTGTATGAAATTGTGTTTAAGTGATTCCTAAAGCCCTTTTAAATGTAATTACACGAACAATAATACTTTAAGAGATACTTTTTTAATATTTTTTTCGATAAAACATGGATATATTTTACCATTTTGGGGAGAGGCTTCAGCCCGAAAGCCCTCCCCCCACCCCCCGTAGATCCACCCGTGCTCCAAACTATTAGTTATTAAACATTTAAGAAGTAAAGAAAAATACTTTATTTAAAAAAAATGTCATAAATCAATTGCCCATGAATTAATTTCTTGCCCTTAAATGAACTACTGATCAATGGCTACCCTGTATTGATAGGATTGTTTGTAATTTTAAAAATAAAAAAGGACTATAATATCTGACAATCTAGGTACAATATATCAGAAAAATAAAGTGTGAACATGTAACCACTGCAACATATTTTTATAGGTTATAAAGTTTAAGAAAAGTCAGAGAGAGCTACTAAAACCTTCTCCTTTCATAGAGAAGTTTGATGATATAAGAAAAGAAGACAAATCTCTGACACATTATGAAAAAAGTACAGGAATATCATATGGTCAATCTTCTGGGCTGAAAGATGACTTGGATAATGAAGTCATAGGTAAATATTATATTAGAAAGTACATATATTAAAATAATTTTGATTTCATGATTTTAACTCTTATATTATCCATTTAAGAGCTAATTTCAAGAGCAAAAGCATAAAATAAGAGATAATTTTGCCTTCATTTATGAGATAGCTAGTAGTAGAACTTATTAAATATTTGTATACTATTACTACAAGAAAATTGTAATTATTTTCATATATTTAAAATAATATGACATTATTTGTAGCAATAGATAACACAAAGTAATCATGATTATGAGTATCCATACAAAATAACATACTGAAACAATTACTGCCCTATATACTTATACATTTATGGCTTGACAATCCATTTAGTGAGTCTTGGCCTCCTCCATGAGCCTCCGCTGTATGTCTATTCCTGAGCTTCTATCCCATTCCTAATAATTAGCAGGATCTTTGCGTCTACGACTTCACTCTGTCACTATAATTAGGGTCTTCTAACTTTCCTGGTTTGATGGAGTAGCCTTCTAGAATCTCATAAAAACTCATATGAGCCACATGAAATCATCATTCATGTTTAGTCCAGTGAAGTAGAGATTTCTTGATATCTCCAATATTTTTCTGAATACCATTTTCTCAAATAAGAGAAGTTAATTCATCAGAGTATATACTTGCATAAGGTTCAGATCTATAAATGAGAATGGGTCACACCAGTTTCTTATAGAGGTGAAGTTGGGTTCTGTTTGATAGGAACTAGCTTTTGAAGTAATTTTCTAATCACTATCCTAATAATAATTAAATTATTAAGTTTAGAGGTAATAAAAAAATATTTATTAATACGTGTCACAAAGAATCGAAATTTTGTTATTTAACTGTAAAGATAGTAAAAATCAAACCAATAGATCGATAAAAGAAATAGTTTAAATTTATCTTCTGTAAACATGGCTCAGGGGTGTCCAGAAGAGGGTTTCATGGCACAAGTTTCGTTCACAAAATTTTTGAGGGGCGCACACATTTTGATGGAGTTTTGAATTTTTGAGGGGGAGGAAGGACACATTTCGAAGGGATTATGAATTTTCGAAATGAAAAGTTTCAAATCAGTAGGCAGGAAGAATTCATAGAACAGGCCAATAAAGGTGTAATTGTATATGACTAATGATTTTTGAAATTCTAAATGGCCAAAACTCAGGCCATTGTCATTGCTTCCAAGCCCCTTCTTAGATCGCATACAGACTTTCCCATCCTTCACCGTAATGACCAGCCAATCTCCTTCTACTCCTCTGTTAAAAATTTAGAATTTTTCATTGATCAAAACCTCTTTTGGAATCACCATATTTCTCATATCTCTCGACCGACAATTTCCACCCTCAAACTATTTAATCGCTTCCCCCATCTCCTACCTCAACATACCCGTAGACTCCTACTTTCCTTTCTCATTTTCCCCCACTTTGACTATAGCTGTGTGGTGTATGATGGCTTCTCTGTGGAGCTCCGCGATAGACTGAAAAGACTATTGAACAGCTGCGTAAGATTTGTGATCGGGGCCCCAAGATACTCCCATGTTTCTCACCACTACACTGAGTTAAAGTGGCTTTTCCCCTACTTCCGAAGACAATATTTCCTAAGTACGTTCCTCTACCAAATCATCAACAACCATCGTCCTTCTTATGCCTACAACCTTCTCTAGTTAAATCCTCAGTCCATTCCCTGTCCACAAGATCTCGACCTTCTAACCTTTACATGCCTTCTCACAGATCTGCCTCATTCCAAAATTCCTTTATTGTTCCCTCTGTCAATTTCTGGAATTCCCTCCCTATCAAAATTCGACATTCTCCATCCATATCCACATTCAAAACCCTCCTATTGCAATTCCTATCCCAAAAACAGTCAGATAGTTGCTAACCATTCGAGCTGCTTTTAATAGAGAATTTGATACATTTTAATTTTTTAATTCTTTATTATTTTCTTAAAAGTGCATACTGGTCTATCAGTGCAAATAGCTTGAAGTGTCTTGTCATAGTATTAATTGTTTTGTATATAGTTTCGTTTGTTTTGTATATAGAATGTTTACCTTATATTTTTTTTTCATTATTTATTTTTTTCGATTGATTTTTTTTTTTGGCCAGATGTAATCTTTTAGTTTTGTTCTATTTTGTTATTGTCAAGGGACTGTGTCAAAAAAAAAAAAAAAAAAAAAATATATATATATATATATATATATATATATTTATTTAGTAAATTACATTAATTTATTTGAAGCAGTCAAAAAAATTGTGCTAAAAATAAATATTTTTATTTTAGGAAGGAAGAAAAAATGTGCCTTCTTGGACACATTATTAGAGAAAGAAGCAAATAGGGAAGTATTTAGCATGAAGGATGTTCAAGACCAAATTGATACACTCATGTTTGAGGTATTCCCTATAATGCAGATCATTTAATCTTCCGAAAATGAGCTGTATACAATATAAAATTTGAATAAATAAATGGTTGACTATTAATATAAAGTTCAATATATATTTTATATTAATACACTTGAAATGAAAAGCACATTATTCATTTTTATTTAATAATTGTTTTTTTCTAGGGGCACGATACAACTGCTGGAGTTAGTAGCATGTTTCTTTGTTTAATGGCCACCAATCTTGATGTTCAGGTGACTTTCACTAAATTAAATATATAAAAAAGCTATTAATTAACTTATTTTTCTTCCATTCCTTTGTCAGCTTGTAATAATGAAATTTAAAGGGATAAAGAATTGAGGGAGGGCATACTAAATTGTAATATAAAACTAAAACAAAAATCCAGAAGATGGCTGAATAAATAAATACAACTATAACTAGTTTAAAAAAAGTAGTATTTACAATGATCATTTGCTTACAAAGCTCACCATAGTCATGAATAGTAGGAAGAACAAAAAAATATAATATTGTACATAATTTAAGTACATACTTTTAATAAGTTATACTAATTTTGGTTGTTACAACTTCGAATTTTAGATTTTATTTCCATTTTCGTTCTACTTCTCGAAATATTAGACAGAATCCTTTTTGGAATGCCAATAATTTCTGAAAAAAGGTGTCATAACTAAAATAATCATTGCTTTCATTAGGCCAAGGATTTGGGTTTGCTGTACTGAAATAATTTATAGTTATGAATTTCATATATTTAAATCCTTTACATTGCACAAAATAGTTCAAGGTACTTCTTGTGACCAATATTTAAATGGTAAAGACTAATTCCCTCCTCCCCCCCAAAAAAAAAGGATGAATTGAAAATCATTAAAGAAGGGATTTAACTATAAAATGTAAAAACTTTAAGAAGACCAGAACTATGCTCTTTTCTAAAATATAGTGTAAATTATTGACTTTAAGACCAACCTAAATCATTAATATTGTTGGAAATGTATATACTGAAAAATATTTATCTCCATTCTTTATCCAGAAATATTTATTAATATAAAATGTGTAGGAAAATATCTGAATTAAGAATAAGATTTTTTTGCTTACCTTCATTTTCAAAACTGTATAAGTCTATATTAAATAATTTTATTTTTTGTACAAATTATTTTAAATATTGTAATTTCTTGATTATGTACTGTTTATTCAATTATTGATTATCTGTAGGCTAAATGTGTAGAAGAATTGGAAAAAATATTTGGTGATTCAGATCGTGATGTGACATTTGAAGATACTTATGAAATGAAATATCTGGAGCGTTGTGTCATGGAAACATTGAGAATATATTCTCCAGTTCCTGTGATAGCAAGAAATCTAAAGAAAGAATTAACATTAGGTATTAAAAAAACAAAACAGTTATGTAAACTTATAGCATAGGTGGGGAATTCTTTTTATCATTAGAGGCGGTAAGGTTAGGCAGTGTTGATGGAGTCTGCAGTAATTCTTTTTATTTTACTGTTGCTATTTTTATTTATCATTAAATTAACAAAAGCACATCCATACATTCAACTTAATTGTATTAATTAAGACATTGTCATTAATAATTAATTCTAGCACTAGATTAATAAATATTGTGCAAAAACGTTTGGAAGCCGCATGTGGCCTCCGAGGCAGCAACTACCTCACAAAGGCCACATGTGGCCTATGAGCCCGCAGTTCCCCACCTATGACCTATAGTAAAGATTTTTATTTTTGAAAAACTTAATATTTATTTAGTAAAAATGAAACGATAAACGTTTTTTAGGTCTTTAAATTAATTTCACATTCCCAACATAGTTTATTTAAGAAAAAAAGTAATTTATAAAACAAAAGAAAAATCTCCAATCCTAACATAAAATAAGTGTTTAATTAAGAAAATTTATCATTACATACCTAATAAAAAGAAGAAATGAAAGTGAAATGGTCCAGTTTTTGTGAAATATACACGAACGATAGTTATTTTTTAAAATATATATTATTATGTATAAACTAAAAAAAACAAATAAAATATTTGAAATATATTTAAAACAATTATTTATTATTTTTGATATTATTATTCAAGAATGTTATTCTGGAGAAAATAGAAAAGCAAGTGTGTTTATAATGAGCTGTATAGATGTGTGAAAGTAGAATTTTTTAGACATATTACAAATAAATTTAAAGAGAATCATGATTTCCTACATTAATATTAAAAGTTGATCTTGCCTTTCTACTAATAATTTAAATAAAATTACCAATATTAATAATTTAAATTCCAGCTGAACATTTATCATTACATATATATTATACACAGCTATTAAAAAAGTCATTTCAAGATATTTTATAAATTATGTTTCAGTAACAAACAATATTACATTACCAGTAAGCACAACAGTTATTGTTGCAATTTTCAAGCTACATAGAAGAGAAGATCTTTATCCAAACTCTGAAAAATTCAATCCAGATAATTTTATCCAGGAAAAAACTGCAGCTCGGAGCTTTTATTCATTTATTCCTTTTTCTGCAGGACCAAGAAGTTGTGTAGGTAAGATTAACAGATGAGCTGTTCATACATTTTTTTTTCTTTCAAGAGTAAAAAGAAAAGTAGTAAAATTTGAAGATAAAAAAAAATTATTAATGATATTTTTATTAATTTGCATCAATAAATGAAATAATGAGTATTAAGACTGTTAAGAATACATTTAAAAATAAAATTACCATATATGAAATAAATGCTTTATTATATACTTTGTCAACTGAATTTCAGGGAGAAAATATGCTATATTGAAACTAAAAGTAGTTTTATCTACAATCTTGAGAAATTATCAGATTACGACCTCATGTCCAATGGAGAGCTGGAAACTTCAAGCTGATATCACACTTAAAAGAACAGATGGTTTTAAAATAAAACTAATTCCAAGAAAGAATGCATAATAGATAATTTAAAAGAAAAAAAGTATCAATATTGTATTAAGATTTACAAATATATAAGTGTACCTATTTATTATTTTAATGCGTTCATGATTGAAATATACCTTCCAAAAAGTGGTATGGTTTCTTGGAATGTTTGGAACAAAAAGACTAAAACAAATGTGTTAGAAATAAATTGAATTTTAGAACTAAAACATCTTGTCAGTTTAACCGGAGAAAATGAACATGTAATAACTAGTTGAAGAGAAGGATGGTTGGGGTGATCAGTCAAAATAAAAATAGCAAAAATAAATAATAATATTTATTTTTACATTTGCCGACGTTTCGACCCGAAGTTCAGGCCTTCATTTAGGCTAAGAAAAGAACCAGATAACATAGGTATGAGAAACCATAAACATTGAATAATAAAGAATTAAAATAAAAAAGTGAAAGGTATAGACTAAAAAACGTAGGTAGAATAAAACTTATAAATGAAATAAATGGAAGTGAACATTAAAGTAAAATAAAATAGGTAGAGTAATAACAATAAGAGAGAACTAAGAAATAAATAATAATAACGAAATTTCATTAGTCCGTACTTTGTTGCCATTATTATTTATTTCTTAGTGCTTTGTTATTGTTATTATTCTACCTACTTTATTTTACTTTAATGTTCACTCTATCTACTTCATTTTACTTTAAATTTATTTCTACCTACATTTTTTAATCTATACCTTTCAATTTTTTATTTTAACTCTTTATTATTCAATGTTTATAGTTTCTTTTACCTATTGTTATCTGGTTATTTTATTAGCCTTGATGAAGGCCTGAACTTCAGGCGGAAATGTCGGCAAATGTAAAAATAAATATTATTATTTATTTTTGCTATTTTTATTTTGACTGATCACCCCAACCATCTTTCTCTTCAATTATTCACTATAGTCAACCATCAGCCCACAATTGTACTAACTAGTGTTTACTACAGGTATAATAGTTCAGGAGCTGAGAGTAGATGGTAGAAATAATATAATGAGTGAGTTCTATCAAGTTATTTGAATAAATACTTAAAATCCCTAGTAACCTAAAATACATATTGCCAAGAGTTGTGTTGCCTCCTTCCTATTGTTTCGACCAGACCTCACTTCTTTGCACACCTCCAAGTTGAAAGGAACACAGCATGTTAAATTTATAGAAATGTGGCGGGACGCCTGGCTCTATTTGGCCAGAAAAAAAAGAAAAAAGGGAGAAGATAACAGAGCTCCTGGCAATGATAGATCTGGATCATCAAATAATTCTTTATGAATTCTCATCAGTTCCTTCACTATAATGGTATTTGTCAGTGTTGAATCTTTTATTATATTTACTTTGAATTTAGATGAATTGTTTTGTTTTAAAATTTTTGTAATTAGATTAATTATGCCATCTAGTGGCATAAAAATGGATAATAATTCTAAATTCATCCAGGTTATTAATTAATATTGTTTTCGCTGTTACTACTATTGTTAGAAACAGCAGAATATTGAAGGGAATTGTGACTGGCAGAGGAACAATAAAAATAACATATTGGCATCCGAACTAATGAAACAAATTTTTAAGAAAATGTAAAGTAAGGTTGATATGAATCTCTAATTATTTAGCAATAAACCCTCAACTTAATCAACATGGACGCAAGCTTACTAAACAAAGAAGTTTTTCTAAAGTGGGTTATCTATAGTATAGCCTAAGGGTGATAAAAAAGTCATGAATAATTTATGATTTTTTAAAAAACAAAGTTAAAGTAGTTTCATATTCAATAGGATTCAATAGCCCCTTTAATTGTTTTAGCAAAGACAAATTCTGCTTATATGTAAAGTAAATTTTGTTCAGTTTACTCTGAAGCAATTTTTATTTGCCTCAATGAAATAGTTTTTTAGTTATCTGTTCCAATTTGACAAAAAATGAGATATGCTTAAAAATACAAACAACTAAAATTTCCTAGTTTTATTATTTATTTAAATGGAGTTAACTGCTCTAGCTCATTGCAGCCGAGAGTGAATTTAGCGGAATAAAAGTTTTATAAAAATTGAGATTATGATGAGTAACATGTTTATATTGTCATGTAGAATGATAATATGATGAACAGACGCTAATAACCAGAGGAAAATGTATAAATAGAACATCTGAATGAACATATAACTAAACTAAATGAACCTTTTCAATTCATTCATAGTTGTGAGTAATGCTGTTCGATCAGTCACTTATTAGATATATAAGAAACTATATAAGGAAATTTAAGTTTTTACTGTTTCCCGATAGGGTACAATAGATAAGGTAATTACTGATACAATTCTTTCTTTTATTTGTCAGTTATTTTAGATACCTACGTTTACCTAAATAGAACACTGTTCCACGTTTTGATCTGTAACTATTATACTATCTATATAACTTCTACATTTGTATGTTTAACATACTTGAATCATTCTGAAAAAAAAACAAGTTAAAATCTGGTCATTTCTTCTTGGAAGGCTTCCTGATGGAGCTCCTTCTCTCCTTCCCAAGAAGAAGTGGACAGAGCCAACTAGTACTTTCTAAATTTTAACTTAAATTAAGTTTGTTTGTTTTTCTCAGATGTTGGAGATTGTGTTTAGACAATCTTTAAAATGATGTTCCGATATGGCGAAATAAAACACCAGTGAGGAAAAAGTATATATTATATTTATTGATGAAATTGTTATATAGTTGTGTTTTTTAAATAAATAAAAACAATTTGATGCCATCTTCGTGTTGTTTTTCGAAATTTCAGCAATATTATTTTCCAAATCCACTTCATATCAATGTTCCTCATAGGCACAATGCTCAGTCTAGATGTGCATCATGGTGATATTTACAACGCAGGAAAGAAACTCAAGGGATTCTCCCTTTGTCAATAGGTTTTCATGTTTTAACCTTGAGTAGTTTTCGAAAACGGTACGTGTCAAAATGATAATTAATATTTTATAACACTTCTTGAAAACAATATTAGAAGCAAAAATAAATAAAATACAATAGATTGTATCTTTGTAAATAATGATCCAATTTTCATGTTTTTTTTTTGTAGGGATTTCAGCAAATGTTCAAATAATAATGGGTCTGAACATGAAAAAAAAGTATACTTTTTATGTAATTCACAAATAAATTTTCTTTTCATTCATAACTTTTTCCCCTGAAATTACTATGATTCATCATTGCTGCATTTAATGCCCTTTCGTTTGATACCTCCTTCATCAAAATACATAGCTCCTCAGAGCCGGAAAAGGGATCGTAACGGCAAAAAACTGTCGTATTATATTATAAAGATAGATTATACCTAATTATTATCATTATACATCACGAGTAATCAATCAGCTGGAATGGAAAGCCTTCCTAAGGTATTTCCTTACTTATGGCTTTCAATCCCCCTCATCTCTTCTCAGCATTAAATTCTTTTATCATATTACCTTCGTCTCACAATATTTCCAAATGGTGATGCTCATGACTGGATGTGATAGGAATCTATCTCTATCATTTCTTAGCAACGCACATAAGCCTTTGCAAAATTTAAGAATGTGGAATGTCATCGTACACAATCAAATTAAACCACATCACTGGGGTTAATGAAACTGGTTTTTCAAGGTAGAAGATGCCAAGACTTCTCATTTGAAGGCTGTGGTAAGATGATTCCCTCAATTTATTTCTTTTTAACGCAGGTGCAATGAAGCTATCCGAGGTGAGGCGTCTTTCTTTTTTTTTATTATTTTTCAACCAATGAATATAATGATATCTTCTAATTACTTAACAGTATATAACATACAATAAGTAAATTTAATAAGTTGTAAGTTGTAGAAGTAAGTATATACATTTGAGTTGATCGTGACATCAGGTTTTGGTTGACTTTGGTGAAACGAGACTTTGGTTGCATGCATTTGGAATAACACCAGCTTCCGAGTGTTCCTCCTGAGCAGGGGAAACTAACGTCTTTCGACTACATATGACGTCTATAAAACAATACTTCTCCTTGTCAACTAAGGTCATTATCGTGAAAACATATATCGTCTATAGCATACATACATAATAGAAAACATATTTGCGTTTTTGCTATATATTTTGTATTGTTGATATTTATTATTAGTTTATGTGATTTTATTTGTGTTGTTTATCATTTATGTTATTATTATTTATAGTCTTCGTGATTTTACAGATATGATTTATTGTTTTAATTGGATTTTTGTGACAAGAAGAACTTTGCAGGTTAGGTAACCATCCACGAAGTTTTTAACGCCTACAGTGTAGAATACTACAGAAAATTCGGAAATACTATAAACAGGCTCCAGGTATGACTGTATATTCGTATATAGTCGATGGAGGAGCACACCAGGAAACTGAAGAAGGAACTAAAATAAGCTTCTTGCATGAAATTTTGAGGAATACAGTATGAGGATTCAATCGAATAGATAGAAGAAGTGCTAAACTCAACGAGTTTATTTCTAGAGGCCAGCCAGTCGTCATAAACGATGTCTCTGCCCCACCTACGTTTTTTGGAGGTACGGGTGAAGGCTGGATGAACGTCACTCATAGGGCATATTGTCGATTGATCAATCAATCTAAAACGAGATATGATTGCAAAGTACTGGCATTAAGCCTGGTTCATTAACAAGAAGATTCTCACAATAGCTAGCCATCCAATATTGTAGTAACAAGGGAAAGTTAACCGCTGATGTCCTGCTTCGAGTGCGAGTGGATGTAGAACAGAAGGCCAATCGGTATGTCATGTTGCTGCTTTTTGACATATCCTACACCTTCGATAATGTCTGGTGTACGCGAGCACTCCAGCAGCTACAGAAGTACTATACTCCCAGCAACCTATACGCTCTCGTAAGTTGGTACCTCTAGAACAGATTTAGAACAGAGGTAGCTCTTATGAAACTGAAGCTTTCATAGAGATAGGATGCCCACAGGGATCAGTCCTTGGTCCGGCCCTATGGAAGCTAGTATTTGATGAGTTGCTGGGTCTGCTCGAAGACGAGTGGTTCCCTGCGAGGGCCTACGTCGATGACTTGGCGGCAATAGTAGTGTCAAACAGCAGAACCGGAATAAAGGAAC